CAGATTTTATGAAGTTATGTAAACATACAGTCGTCATAACAATGTTGTCTACATATTTAGGATGCATGTTAATAGGTTTCCGGAAGATCCTCCATCGTGAAGACAAAATGCCAAATGCATTTTCAATTGTGCGCCTTGCTCTAGACAATCTATAATTCAATAAAATGCGAAATAAGACCAAGATAAATTCAGATAATACGATGTAATAATAATAATAAATAAACTATTAACCTGTAATTAAAAATTTTTTTTTCGTCAAGTTGTTTTCCAGAGTAAGATCGCATCATAAATGTACTGATGGAGAAACCACTGTCTCCAAGGAAAAAGCATGGTAATTTATTATTGCTTTCGGGAAGATTTGCAATTCCTTTTGGAAGGTTTAATGCTTCCTCTTCCATTGCCAAATGAATATCAGAAGATGTAAATATACCATCGCTATTTCCGCCATATGAGCCTATGTCGACTAGTGTGAACATATATTTATGATCACATGCAGCCATTAGTACAATAAACGTCTTCTTGTAGTTATAGAATAAGCTCCCAGAGTTTGGCGGAGCCTGTATCTGTACATGCTTTCCGTCGAATGATCCAACGCAGTTAGGGAAATTCCAATCTTCCAGAAAGACAGCACAAATATTTTTCCATCCCTCTTCTGTTGGTAAACGGAGGTAGATTGGCTGCAATACCTTCACTATGACAGGACAAATTTCATGGATAATTTTCCGGACAGTTGATTCTCCACATCTGAAAGCCAGCGCGATGGACAATATTTGATCCCCAGTTGCTAAATATCTGAAAAAAATATATGAATAAAAAATATTACTGTAAAACATTCGCTAAATAATACTTTTACACATCTTATTCTTTAATTTAACATATGTATAATAAAAAAAAGTAAATACCTTAGAGTTATGGTTAACCGTTGTTCTGGACTAAATGCTCGATTGCTAAATTTTATCAAAAAAGGCTTTGTCAATTGCAGTAGAACGTCAAAAGTTTCCTTTTTCATTCTGACGTATCGGAAAAATATATCTGCATCATCATACTTTAACTCGTGGAAGAGATGTTCATAATCACCATATATAGGGCGTGAAACGGGTCTTTACTTAATGGGTCTTACCCACCACCTCCGATTTAACCACCTTCTTCCAAGATGCCTTTTTTGCAACAAAGCTAATAAGCACAATTGTAAGACGGATAACATGAAATAATCCTCATCATCCATATTTATAGTAACTTGTTACAAGTTTAAAATATAGTAACTTATGTGCAAGAGTATGTACAGTTAAAAATATATCTAAAAATACAAAAAAATATGTAAGTTACAGATGATTTTACATATACGTATTTGTCATATTTATGTCAAATATAACAAATACTTGAAAGTAATCGACGCACATTCACATATTACCTCTAGAGACGCTGCTGACCAAATGTAATATGGTATTATGAGGGATTATCTCTCTCTCTCCTCTATGTAGTAGACTTGCAATTTGCAACATCAATGTCAATCTACCGTTTGATACTAAAATAGAACCTGTATAATATAATATATTAATAATGTGTGCGTGCGTGCCGTGCGTGTATACATATATACTACCGATCAGAAGTTTCTGCACGTCTTACATAAATGTATATAAATCACGCCAAGGTCTAGATTAGATATTATTGTCTAATAATATTTTCATAATTGAATGCATCCGACAGTTTAAGCACATGGTATATGTATAACTGAAATGTAAGTGTTTCAATTATGAAAATATTATTCGTCACCAATATCTAACTTTGACCGTCTTGACATGATTTTATTACTTATTTGATATATTCATCTAGAGATGTTATAACTTATTATAATATAATATTATAAATTATATAGTATTATATGGTTTTTATACTTACTAATTGTGGGGGTCGAAGGTTAGTCGCTCTTATACTAATAATGCAGCGGCCGTCGCCTTCGGCCTCTCTGCCGGATCG